TGTCTTAATGGATTAGAAGTTGTAAGTTATTATTTATTTTCGAATACTCTTTTATCAAGGCCTTTTATGTTCGTAGAACAGGCGGAGGTATATGGCTGAGGATGGGAAGCCAATACAGTGGAGTGTCTTAATGCAGCCGCTAATTATTCTCATTGCTACATTAAACTGCGTATCTACTATTTTGACATGGCGACTATTTAACCAGACAGGTGCACAGTACTCTGCCACAAAGTACCAAACTTAACACAGATATTCGTAGTGTCTCCGCAGATGCACTCCAGTTAGTACCACAGAGATTCCGAATAACAGTGAATTTTTGTGCAGTTATTTGTAGATGTTTTTTAAGCGACAGGGTCCTGTCTAAGGTAACCTCAATTTTCACTTCATGTTGGCCTCTAATTCTTGGATTGGCTTTTGGTTATTAAGATGAAAGTTAAAAAGCATTGGAGCAAAGACTGATCCTTGGGTAGTACATTATTTTACCGTGAATTACCTGGAAGCATGTTGTTTATTAGTTTCAATATTCTTTGGCATGAAAATTAGTTTGATTAGCTTATACATAATCCCTCCTTCATACAGTGTCGTAGACATCTGTCATATCGACAAAACTACAGCAGTCTTTTGTTGCTTTGGAAACCCGCTTCTATATGTGTAGTTAGACTTAGGACCTGGTCTGCGTAGCTTCGATTAGGTATAAAACCTGCTTGTTCGAGTGGGATATTTTTAAGAATTTGTAGGCCTATTCTGTTTACGATAAGTTCATTCCAACAGTTTGTAAAAGCAGCTGAGAAGAGCTATGGGACGATAGCTTTCAACTTAATCGTGGGGATTATTGCGGTCTGAAGGCCAACATGAGAATCATACATATACAACATTTAACACTTTGTCAACTACAAATTTTATTGACAATATTTTATCGCTCGTTTCTCTTGTTCTTACAACTTCTACTACGTTCTTTTATTTCTCTATCAACAGTTATACAAAATCCATTCCTGGTGTTACTTTTTTTTACATACCACAATTTGTTTCTTTCACCTAGTCCTTTCGTCCTTTGTCTTTTCCATTTAGTCTTTTGAATGCAACCAATTTGTACTCTTCTTCTTTTAAACGTCTCTACCAACACCGTACTCTTAGCTGTACGACTTTCATGATTCCAAGAATCTGCCTTGATTTTTGTAACCTGTTCTGAATGCCTGAAGTAGTTTTTACCTTTACTTAAGGAAACTATAATTGAAATAATTTTACAGAATCTTCCAATGCTTCTTCAACCAGTAGTTGCTCTTCTTGTAAATGTGCCTATCTTCTAGAGATGTTGACGACCACATTGGACCATTTTATTCTATTCACAGCAGCTCGAAATAGATCAGTTGACGTTAGACCAGTCCATTTCCTAAGATTGGCCAGCCAGGATATACGTCTATGTCCAGGGCCTCTCTTACCCTTCATCTTGCCATATAGAATTAACTGTAGAAGTCGGTATTTATCATTACACATGATGTGGCCGAAGTAAGCCAATTTTCTGTTTTTTTATGGTGTTAATAATTTCTTTGTCTTTTCTTAGCCTTAGGGTGGTCATAAGGACTTTCTAAGTTTTATTTTACCGCCTGTACTGTTCTATTGGATTTTTATTTAAGCGATCAATGACATGGGTTATGTTGGCTTTAGTGGCTTATTCACATAGACCTGCTACTTAGGAAAAGTCTACAAGAAAGAGTTTAGCGAGGTCAAATATAGACCAGGAAACTAACGATTTTCCCATGACACTCGTTGATACAAGTATCTAACAACTGCTTTCGATAAATTTGGTGATAGAGATAGTGCAAACATCCTGACCATGGCGCAGTAGACGAAATTTGGTTTACAATAGAACCTTTCTGCCTTAACGTGAATTTTGACTCCTTCTTCGCGCAGCTCCATGGTCAAGAGTGTTTGCACTATCTTTAACAATACCAATATGCAATAAACAAAGTATGCAAAAGATTAGACGTCATTTTTTTCTATAAACAATATAAGATTTCTATTTGATTTTAAATACTAAAGGTAAATTTCTTTTTTTTTAACTTTATCAAGAACAAAATTATGAATTTTTTGCATTATTTCTAGGACACACTGTACATTTCTACGTATTTCAATAAAAACACTTTTAAAATTCTTATTTAATGTATGCACATATTTAAAAATTGGCAAGCTAAATAATATAGATTTTACAAATTATTCATAGTACATTATTGGTGGTGAATCACAGTTTCTCGGCAGCACTGATAACAGCAAAGAATCAGAAAATTTATAGGCAGAGCTAAAATAGGTTGTTGTCAAAGTAATTTAAATCTGGTTGGTTCTTATTGATTGTGGTTTTCTAAGGTTTGTGTTGAACCTCTGGAGGAGTTTTTGTAGACTACCTATTAAGGAAATTTCAATATGTGGAAAAAATCGTTCTCTATTTTTTATATATAAATCATACAGTTCCATGAGGAGCATAAAGATTGACGGTAAGGCTGCTAACCTCATGCATCATTGCTTGAGTCCCGTCCAATTCTATTGATAATTTCCTCCACTCTTATTCTGTTGCTTACAATATTATTTACTACGTTCCACGTTAAGTTAACTTGTTGGAGTTCCTTTTCTATCGTTTTCTTCCATGTGACTAGTGCTCTTCCTTGTTTTCTCTTACCTGGTAAGCTATACTGTGAGGCTTGTCTGGCTATATTTGACCAGGGTTTCCGCAACGTGTGGGCTATCCACCTCCATTTCCGCTTTTTTATTGTAATTTCTATTTTTTGCTCGTTCGTTATTCTCTACAGTCCTACGTTTGTGATTTGGTTTGGCCAAAATATTTTCAATATTATCCGTAGGCATCTGTTCACAAAGATTCCTGTTTTTAAAGATTTTTATTATATTTCCATGTTTCTGCTCCATATACCAAGACTGATTTTACATTTGTTTGAAAAATGCGCCGTTTCGCTTTTACTAAAACTTGTAAACACCACATTACGTTTCGTAATGTGTTGAAGGCAGTTTGTGCTAAGTCTATTCTCCTTGGTAGGTGTTTTTCTGTGCCACCTGTTGCATTCACCAGACTACCTAGATAGCAGAACTCGTCTACTTCTTCTATTTGTTTGTCCTCCAGGCGTACAGGTCCGCTGTTGATTTTTTTGCTTGAGAGCAAAAGAGTTTTTTAAATAATGTTCACATATTCACCTTTTGCTTTTTTATATATCATACCGCATAGTAGTGTAGAGCGACAATACATTATAATACAAATAAAATTCAATATTAATATTAAACTTATCTTATTTGTAAGCTTAACTATATTCTACTGCATATTTAAATTATGTACAAATTTGACCCATTCCTTCTGATTTCTGACCAGCGTCCTTGCTTTTGTCCATGTTGTTCTCCTTTTTTCGATAATGTTTCCCAAGGTTCTATCCCATGTTCATCGTGTTTTGAATCCTATTATTAATACATGTTTTCGTATCTTTCGTTGTCTTCTAATTCTACTCCTACGCATTGAAAGGTTCTTGGTTGTTTTAAATTTGCTTCTCCTATTTTTATGTGTACCTTTTCTTCTTCTTCATTTTCCCCTATCATCATTACTTTTGTTTTATTTTATTAATTGAGGAGTCGAAAGAAAATGCAAAAAAGTATTTTTGAAGTGTGTATATTTTAGGCAATTCCTAGCTGAGCGCTTTCGGCTTTACAAAGCCATCATCAGAGCTATGGTCAATTTTTAAATACCACTACAAAGGAGAGATCTCATTTCCTTAAGTTTCACAATTATGATTTTGTAGGAGTTGGAATTTTTAAAAACATATAAAAAAACATATAAAAGGTCGACACTGGACGTCACAAACACGTTAAAAAATTGAAAAATTTTTTTGTCATGGTACGGGTTTAAGACCCGACCATCTATTGATGTGAGGATGTAGACTGAATAATTCAGTCTACATCCTCACATCAATAGATGGTCGGGTCTTAAACCCGTACCATGACAAAAAAAATTTTTCAATTTTTTAACGTGTTTGTGACGTCCAGTGTCGACCTTTTATATGTTTTTTATATGTTTTTAAAAATTCCAACTCCTACAAAATCATAATTGTGAAACTTAAGGAAATGAGATCTCTCCTTTGTAGTGGTATTTAAAAATTGACCATAGCTCTGATGATGGCTTTGTAAAGCCGAAAGCGCTCAGCTAGGAATTGCCTAAAATATACACACTTCAAAAATACTTTTTTGCATTTTCTTTCGACTTGTCATAAGTGTGTACAAAAAATATCAGTCTTTTGATTTTTTTATTAATTGTCGTTGCATATTTTTAGTACTTTATTCCATATTTCCATGTAGCCTTTGTAGTTGTTTCTCATTTTCGGTCAATATGACAACGACGTCACCAAATGCTCTTTCTGAAATGTCTACTCTTCTTAAATTTCTATAACTTATATGGATTTTTTTTACTTTTACGTTTCATTCCGTAATTATCTAATCCATGTAATTAAGTCCATTGGACTTAATCCTTCTCTTTGTCTCCAACCCTCGCTTGTAGTAAATGGTTCTGATGTTCTATTTTGGCTGATGACATATTTAATATGGCTGTTGTAAATGTTCCTAATTACCCTTATCATTTTGTTGCTAATTAGTTTCTTTTCTAATTTTTCCCATAAGTTTTTTCTTGGTACCCTGTTAAAAGCCTTTTCAAGGTCTATATACGCCATATATATATATATATATATATATAATATATATATATATATATAATATATATTCTTTTCTGTAACATTTATTTGACAATAAAAACCAAAAAGTCATACTGTTACAATCAATATTTAATGTATCCTGTTTTATTCCAGGAGGGTGGAAAAACTAAAACCAAAACATTAGTCTTTCAAAGTCCCATCACAGAGGAGGAATTAGAAAATATCTGGGACGAAAAAATTCTTCGATTATTGGTAATTTACTTGAATTTATTAAATGTAACAAACTAATGTTTCTTTCTATTAAAGCTTGAACAAAGCACAGAATACGAAGAGAGGCGTATAATCAGGAATAGGCTACGCAGCGTAATGGCAGAACAAGAAGGTAAGTGATTGTATTCGCATCATCTCGTCTCTTTTTGAGTCATTTTCATTTGTTTTTTTTTTATTAGATACTCTGGTAGATATATAATTTTATTTGTCTACCTACGAATTTTGTAACCAGATATTGGTTGGTTCTGCAATGATAATATGCCAAGTTATGAATCTCCGTATATTATATCTTCGTTTTCTATTTATTTAGATCTAATGTTTATCTAACGCCATTTTGCTTTTACTAAGTTTGCATCACTACGATTTCTTAGCCATTTCTACATTTAAGCTATGATTTTTTATAAAATATACCATTTTCTTTTTCAGCCTAATTACACTCATTCCCTAATTACATTTTTCTATCATTTTTGTCTTGGACCACACTAATTTCAGTCCTCCTTTTAAAAACCAATATAAAAACTATTAATTTTTAACGCAAAATCTAATACGCACTTTTTATTTCAGCTTGTGCAGATCTGGTACAGAAGGCAAGCCAGGAACAACCCGGCGGAAAAATAGAGGGTGAGTCACTTCTTCTTCCTCTCCTTCAAGGCTTACTAGAAAAAAAAGAACCCACCACCGATTCTGGTACAGAATCTGGCGAAGACCAACGAAACGGTCTGATCGCGGAAGTGCAGAATGCTTTAGATAAATTATCTCAGAGCTTGTGTAGCGATTCCACGGACATAACTCCAGAAAGGCGCAGTTCTTTGTTATATTTGGTAACAAAACTTCAAGCTGGACTTTCTACTGCGGTGCCGAAGCTGGAACGAAGACTTTCGAGCGAGCCTGGACGATTCAATAAGCGAAAGAATCGGCAAAATAGGCATACCGTAGGAGTGAGTTCTGAAGAGCTGGCAGATGCAAGAAGATTGATGGAAGAAATCGCAGGACACAATAAAATACCCTCTACTACTCCAAAAGATAGTCTTAATATACAAAAGCAAAACTCAGAGAGTAGTGTTTTATCAAATCCTCCCAATATTACATTTGTATCCAAAACAGAGCCTGAACAGGAGCTCAGTAGGCTCAGCAAACAAAATTCGGATAGTAGTGTAACTAGTAATCCTTCCATTAACAAATATATAAGCAAAGGTTCCGTAAAAAATACAACCCCGAAGCCTTTTAGTAGTGCTACCAATAGTATTTCTAATAACTCATCTACTGCTCAAACCCCTGACTTTTCAGATCATTTAGATGGATTTTTTGGTGAAGAATCTTCTGAAACGCAAAAACCTACGCTTAAAGAAAACTACTCTGACTATTCTACACCTACAACTAAACTAACAGCATCAGCACTTGACAAAATTAAAATGAAGGAAGTTCGCGGATCCCAAGAAGAAGCAAAAATGTTACAATATAATCCAATATATACAAAACCTGATAACGTTAACTACAACCAACCTCTAGAGTCATCCAGAGAACAGAAACTTCGGTTCAATTCAGATATTAAAAAGCAGAAAATGAAACGAGCTAACACCATAGACATTCCGAAACCTCTTCAATTTTACGAAGAATCTGACGATTCGGACGGTGAAACAGAAGCACAGCAACATAAGAATAACTACTATGCACTTCGCGGACCTATCAGGGTAGGCAATCCTGTTAATAAGAAAACAGTTCCCGCTTTTGAACCTAAGACAGTTTCGGACCAAAAGTTCTTGGCGTTTTTGAATAAAAATAACCAAATTCCGGAGGAACAACCTACTAGAACTGCTGCTTGGACAAACCAGAAAAATAGGACAGCAGTGTGGGAGAATAAATTTGGAAACATTAAAAGCAACTTTGAAAATGTTAGTAAAGTACCTAGCAGTACTGTTAAGAACTTTTGGAAAACCCAAGATGACGCTATAATGTCCCGCACTAACCAAATTGGGCCAAAAATTAGTAGACAGAGTGCTAGAAATTTGCAACAAATGTTTGAAGATAAGAGAAGGGAATCTCAGGAAAGAGTGGTGGCACCACCGCAAATTCAAAGAGTCTCGAGGGAGATAATTCCTTCTCGAGACGACCAAAATGCAATCACTGGAAAACTATCAGTTAAAACAGAACCTGAGAAAAACTATAGACTGATACCTGCTCCGTTACCAGTAAATAAGTTCTCCCATGCCCCCCAGTCTGCATTTAAACCTATAAATAGAAGACATAATAGCTTTGAACAAAAACCTACTATACAAGAACCGGCTAACGAGGAAGTCAGTGATATATTAAAAACTAAAATTAAGGAAAATAACAATTCTTCTCTGTTCTTGTATAGTCCTAAACCACTCCATGATTCTGAGGGTAACTCTCCTGCTTTATCTCCTATCAGCAACAAACCGTGGTTAGCGAACGACAATAAGAGTAGAGTACTGAGCATAGCTGCAAAAAGATTTGAAAACAGTTCTCAGCAAAATGATATAGCCTTGATCAAACCAAGGAAACTTAGCAAAGAATTTACATCAGCTTTCGTCACTCCACAGGCTCAAAATGAGAAAACAGGAAGTACCTATCTTACACGTGGTGATACCAGAAAAAGCTCGGTAAGGAAACTAAGTGATCAGTACGACAATTTAGGAACTAAGACGCCAGAATATACTAGTGTTACTAGTGTGACATACCAACCAAGTGGTATATTGAAAAATCATGACTCATTTTTAGTAAAGCAACAAAATAATGATTATAGTAGGCCCAAATTTCCACCTAACAGTCCTAAAGAGTTAAAAACATCACCCTGGCAGCACAATCCACAAGAAAAAAACACTATCCAAAGCTATAAAGAGGCAGAAAAGCCTAAGCATATTGTAAATCCAGTTAGTATTCCCAATGCTCATCAAAATTATCAACATACCAATCAAAATTATCAACAAAAGGAGAATAATACACAGTACAAACCACAAGCTATATATCAACATGTACCTGGTAAGGATACAAGTAGTACCAGTCCACAAAATGAGAATGTCTATACATCAACGTTGACTTTAAATCCAGCACCAAAGCAAGGATTACAACAAACGGAGCCTTTGATGAGTCCTCCAAAACTTCAAACTCAACTTTCGAACGAAAGTGTTCATGAGTATACAGCTATAAACAGTAAAGTGATGGGAGGACCTGTTAGTCAGCAAGCTGTTACTGTAAGACAAAAGTCTCCAATGACTAGAAATGAACACGATATTTCTGCAGCATTTAGTCTAAAGAATACGCTTAGTACCATCAGTAAAGGCGAAGAAAGGCTGACGAAAACTTCTCCCGTTAATCTTTCGAAACCAACATCTCCACAAAGAAAGTCATTTACCTCTCCAGAGCCACCTAGAACTGAAGAGACGAAAGAACAAAAAAACATTCCAAATAAATTATCTTCAAACAGCTTTACTTCGAAAGTATCAGAACCGAAAACAATATTAAATACTGTGCCGAGTCAAGTTGAGAACAAAGCATTTGGAGTTGTGAGACCAATTCAGCAGCAGCAAAAACAGCCTACAATAGGTCCTGTATACAACAATGTTAGCAGAATTCAACGAGCTACGGCTCAGAATCAACAATTTGTCGAATTTAATGAAAAAGGACAAGGAGTTGTTACTAGCAAATTTCATATTCCTATCGTCAATGTTGAGCCAACTTCTCCAGGCATTAACTCGCCTATTTTGTCTCCTCTTCATGGCAGAGCTCTAACCAAGTCAGACTCGTGGCACCAGATCTGTATGGCCAATCAGTCACCTCCTAAATCTGCCTCACCTCGAAGCAATGTCGTTAAGTCAAAATCTAGTCACAGTCTTGCAGTGCCACAAAGACAGTATGAAGCTGGGATATCAAAGGAGGAACTTTTATCCAAAAAGAGAGCTATGGAGGTTTATTTAATGGGAGGCAATAAGTCGCCTCAACAAGTAACGCCTACTAAAAGTGAAAAGGTTGTGAAAAGCAGTATAAATAGGATTAAAACGTCTGAAAAGCAATCTGCGTTCAAATCTACTGGTTTGTCAAGAAGTAGAACTCTACCGGACATAGTATGCCCGCCAATGCTAGACGAAAGTAACGTCGACCAAGCCTTCGAAGACCTCTTCAAGTCGAGTTCCTAGAACTAAACGAACCAAGCGATTAAACTTCCGTGTTCATTCCAATTTTATGTAAAGGTGTTTTTTATGATTTAGGAATAATAACTTAGTCATTTTGCTGAAAAAAAATACCCTGTCGAGTTGGATTTTCTTATGCCTAGAGCTAGAAGAATCGAAACGATGGTGTATGTGGAGGTGCGCACACCATGACTTTTGTTTGGAGATCTCAGATGCTGAACGACGTCAACGATAAGATAGAGGGTGAGGCTTGTGTTGGTGTGCGCACCCTTCCTAACAAAAACACTCCCCACCCGCTGCTCTTGAATAGCTCCAAAGCGATTGTAAATAATACCAATGCACTAATTGTCGATACACATTTTCCACGTTAGTTTTTAATACTCAGTTACCTTAGTCCATTAATATTTTTAACATAACCTTACATATTTTTATAAAAACATTTAATAGCTTTTATATTTGTTATTTTTAATTAACTTTTCAGGTTTTTATTATTATTTATCAAGATTGTAAGCACTGAATCTTTCCGTTTTGGACCTATTGTTTTAGGTTTTGCAGGCAATTTGTTCTTTCATTCACTATAAGTTTTAACGTCATTTTCGAAATTCACGCTCTGGTCTCCTACCATTCATTATTTACTTTTTGGCAACCTCCTTCAACTATATATATATATATATATATATATATATATATATATATATATATATATATATGTATATATATATATATATATATATATATATATATATATATATATATATATATATATATATACGGCAAAGTTCATCTACTTTGACTATTTGCAGTATTGGAGATCATTCCTCCCAAAATGAATAGATTGTTTTGATTGTTGATTCTCTGTTGCTTCTCTCTGTAATTTCTCCATAATCCAGCATGGTGAATAAATTTGAGTCCACTGGTTCAGTAAACAATAAATCTACACTTTCGCTATCCGTGAAAATCTGGAGGAGAAACCGATGTAGTCGGTTTCCCGTCGCTCATAAGAACTTGGCATTTCGCAGACCACAACTTAAGGATTTTTGCGTCGTAATTTAGGTTTAATCCCATACAAAATTCAACTCACCCAGGAGCTGAAGGTGAACTACCATAGACAACGCCGAGTGTTCGCTGAATGGGCTCTAGAAGAGTTGGAAACTGGCCTAATTTTAATTGTAAAGTCATCTTTAGCGATGAGGCCCATTTTTGGAAGAATGAGTACCGAATTGTTGAATTTTAGACAATACCAATCCAGATGAGATTCAACATGACCAATGGCAATTTTGGGCTAGAGGCGTCGCTAGAGGATGTGCCTTTAAATATTCGCCAAACCATATGGTTTTTACATGACGTCAGTCCGGCCTACTTTAGCAGGAATGTACGAGACTTTCTTGATAATAACTACGAAGACCCGTGGATTGGACGTTGCCGTCCAGTTGTTTGGCCAGCAAGGTTGCCAGATTTTAATCCTTGCGATTATTGTGTTTGGGATACATAAAAGTATTTGTTTATTCCATTCCGAGACAAAATTGTACACAACTCACAACAAAAGGGCAAATTTATGCATAGGAACTAATAGTCATCAATATCGAGCATCTTTTGTAACTATCTATTTTTTATACTTGTTCTTTTGTGTTATCGTAATAAATAGTTTTTCTTTAAAACCCTTTCATAAAATTTTGTTTCAATTTGATATTTTGCTTTTTTTCTCAAACTTTTTTACGAATTGTATGCCGCATTCATTGAAACAAAAAATAATTTATAAAATTAATTAATGTACCTATTAATTTAACTTAGATGGCGAAAAAATGAAAAAATTTTAAATCGATTTTGCTAGAAAACGGTATATCCTACAGATTTAAAGTAAGAATATCTTTTTGTACTAGAATACATGAAAATTTAATAATCCACTATCACGAACGCTTAAAAGTTAAAGACAAAAAAGTTATGCGTTAAAAATAACCGTTGACCCACCCAAAACGGACGCCTATGACTGGTACTAGAAATTAGCAATTAATGGAATTGATTTAACTCTGGATGATAAATAATCGTACCAGTTTTCGTTTTTCTAACTAGATTTATTGAAAAATCTAATTAAAAGCCGCAATATTCAAAGAGCTCTAGCTCCATTAGGAACCATTTTAGAACTAGGTGAATTGGATTCAATTGTGTTAAAAATATATCCGGTCTTCGTTTGTCAGGAGAGTTTCTGGACACCCTGTAATAATACTCTACTTTATATATTCTACTTCTGTCATTAAGTAGATTTTTCAGCATGTTAAACATCTACAATAAACTAACAAAGAGATAAGAAATTCATGCAAACACTAACTTAAATATTTTAGACCAGTAAAGAAAAAAAACAGCTGAAAAAATCTTATACGAGTATTTGAAGGTTCTACAAGATATATTAGGAGTAGTGTGATCTGTGAGAATATGTACCACGTCCTGAATTCCATCTCTACTCAAAGCAGTTTGTTTGTTTTCTTAACAAGACTGAGCTGACTGTCTTCTTAATCTGATGGCAATCGGTCCTACCATTCCATCTTGCCAGGTGTTGATCATTCAATACGCTGTAGAGGAACTAGGTAATGCAGGCAATGGAGGAGAGAGAATGTCCTGGTTACCTGATGAATGTGGTGGCGGAGTATCTGTCCGAGAGAAGAATTATGGTGGAAAAGGGCACTATCCTGGACGTGACGGCCGGGGTATCGCAGGGATCTGTCTTGGGCCCGACGCTATGGAACCCAGCGTTGCCAGGTCCAAAAAATTTATTTCCCCAAATTGTGTTTTAAAAATTGCCAGATTGTGAACAGAATTCCCCAGATTTATATATCTTAGTTTTTAACAAATCTTCTCCTAATGTAGGCAACCCGTGATGCGGTGTGTGTTGCCTGCCATGTTCTTCTTAGGGTGCCTGTCCATTCCGAACGTTGGCGATCATTCTGGCTATGATGACTTTGTTGGTTGATATACGAAATAGCTGTGTTGAGGTCACAGGTTGAGGTCTCTCTATACCATGCTCTCAGGTTAGCAAGCCAGGATATTCTTCTTTGTCCTGTGGCCCTTTTTCCTTCAATTTTACCTTATAAAATGCATTGAAGTATCTGCCTTGATTTCTCATTATATGTCCCAAGTACTGCAGCTTACGCCCTTCACGATGTTGACCAAATCCGCAGTTGTGCTCAGCCGCAGTACTTCTTCATTGGTGACTTTTTCTGTCCATGGTAGCTTCAAGATCCTTCTGTATGACCATAGCTCAAAAGCCTAAAGTTTTGATAGATAAGTTAGCCCTCATATACCTTAAGGTATTCCTCATATAACTTTTAAAACTTTCAAAAATATCCGTACAATATTTTTAAGTGAAATCGATGATTTTTTTATAGGAAGACTGATCTGTTTAGCTTCTATCAGAAATTAAACCTGAATTATCATAATAAAACGAGCTATTAGTTCAATACTTTGCATCTTTTAACATTTTGAAACAGAAAATACTCGTAAATAAATATTTTATGTAGTATTGCTGTTATTATTGTAACTTTTTTATTATAACGATCAACAGATATTTGAAACGACTATTCTGCCGTCTATAATATTTAACCATTATATATTATAAAATGTATTTTATAAATTGATTAAGATATGTTACAATTCACACACACGCTTTTTATTTTTATTTTAATTTAAATACACATTTATGACGTGTAACTGCTTCTTTTAAACACACAAGTTATTGAATGAATATTTTTTATTTATTTATTTTAACTATCTTTGAGACTGATATTAAATTTTTGCTCCTTTTCCTGGCTCAACCTCTCCTATTTACATCGCTCCGATCCAAGTGTCTCATACCCTGTTTCTTCAGGAATCTTTAAGTTGGTCTCTCTTCTTTCTACCTATGAGGCAAGTATATTTTAAATCGGATGTACTGGAAATGTGGAACAGACCTTTGTTGTATTGAAGTTTCCTACAGTTTCGTTTCCAATTTAATAAGCATTCCGTTTTCTTTGTACATATTTTTGTAGCCCCTATTGATTCTTCCTGTATTTTCAACTCGTGTATTACTTTATTGATTGTGTCACAAATCTTCTTAAAATTAATAAATACCATATGTATATGCTTTATTTTGTTTACTTTTGTAACAATAGTTCAAACAAATATTTTTGTAATAATAGTTCTGTAAATGAAATAATATAGGTATGAAACGGTTAAGCGGTGTGAGGTTATGAGCTCTTACTTATATCTGGATCATTGATCACAAACACATGGTCACAGAAAAATATAAAAAGTAAATGTGATCTAGCAAAAGTCGCCGTACCAAAATATGGAAGGACTCTCAAATTTCACGAACTCTAAAAACGAGGTTTATCAACTGCCTAATACTACCAATACTGACAATCGGATGTGAATCTTGGAGCCTAATACAAGCGGAAATGAGAAAGATAGACGCCACTGAAATTTTCTGTTGGAAAAGAATGTTACTAACTCTGTGAACTAACCACATGACCAATCACTTCCATTGTTTAGTGACCTAAGGTCATTAAAACTACCTGTTGTCACCTACGGTTCTCAAACTTGGACGTTTACAAAGGAAAACATGGAAAAAATAGCCAAGGCCCAAAGAGCCATGGAAAGGCAAATGCATCAGGATACATTCAAGAAAAGAAATACTTGGATACGCAACAAAACAAAAGTGACCGATGTATCAACGCAGATAACAAAACTTAAGTGGAAGTTCGCTGGACATACCTTAAGACAGAAAGACGATAGATGGAATAAGATGATTATACACTTTAGACCATATAGTTACAAACGACTAAATTGATTTTAAATGACGATCTCGCAAAATTCTTTATTTTGAAGACATCTATCATCAATATATTTCTACAAATTTGTTGAAAACTGTTG